CTTCCGACCCTAGAAACTATGAAACTATGAAAGAACAAATCTCAGAGTTTTGACCAAACTCCAATTTGGTCAATGCTAATCTAATTAAAACACCTCTTGTAACTTTAGCTTCATCATTTTATTATTTTTACACTAAACTGTTGTGCAGCACTGCCACACTTTAATAAAGAATTAAATTAATCCAATAAATAATGGAGTGCTTTCACATCCATCACAGTGAGACATTCTGGATTATACAAGATTATTATTAAAAATGGAATAAATCCTCCCAAAACTCTCCCAGACCTTTAGGAGGTCTCTGGATCTAGAGACCAGAAATCAAACTGGTCCCAGTATAGAACTAAAACTATAATAGTCTAATTTCATATTCCAGATCATAAGGAGATAACTTCATTGTAATCATTACCCTATTTTATTACTCCTTCCCTATGATGTCTTCCTCAACAGACCCCATCCTGCAGTCTCCTCTGCTCCAGGGTCTGAGGCCTCTCAAATGCTTTTAGAATGTCAAGCAGCCAATGCAATAAAATGTAGTCAATGTAGCCAGTGCAGATCAAATGTAATGGGACTGTGCTATAAACATAAGGGGATGGACAAAAGACCAACTGTGAAATCAGCAGTTCATGCATCTGTGGTAAAGCAGCGCTTTCTCCTTACCTGCTGCAACATCTCTGAACATTGCTTTGAAGGATGGGAAGTAGCTGCTCTGCACTCTGTCCAGAAGTTCTGCCATATTCCTAACCTTCCTGGCATTTAGCTGATTGTAAATGCATTCCAAATTGTCATACCTAAACGAAAGCAAGAGAAAATGTAACTTTCCATGGAGATCACAGAAGCTCAACAAATCCATTTTTATTCTGTGTGTTCAGCGCATCGTAAGCCAGTCTGTATGGGTATGCTGGCTCAGGGAAATTCATGAGGCCTCATTGGCTCCAGGGAGCTAAAACCGATTCCAAATTCTGAGAGGAATTACCCTTTCCACAGTCAAGAGTCAGTGTCATCTACCAGTCAAACCAAGAGTACCTCCAAAGCAATTGTATTAAATGAATTCCTCCCTGGCAGAGGTATGTTAGGGGCTGTGGACCCACAGCTGCATGGACATCTCCTACAGAGGAATAGTTTAAAAGAGAAAGATCCTCTAGAAGAACAATAATCTCTATCCAATAGATAGGGCACATCGTACATCTGACAAATGGAACATAGGTTCCACAGTGATAGCAACACCGGTAACCCTCTTGAGAGGAAAAACACCACTAACTATTCCTGCAGAAGATAGGAGCTCTTCAGGAAATAAGCATCAGTGGCCATGATAACTCAAGACACTGACTGAGCAGTTGTTACTGCACAGTCACACTGAGGAATGGCTTTTTCTTAATGCTGACTGAACAACAGCTCATGACTACTGTGCAATAGCATTACATCATGCTTCCTGCCACACAACACTACTGCACAGTAGTCACGAGCTACTGCGCAGTCAGCGTCTTGTGTAGACACAGCCAATGGTTATCATGTTGCTTGTTCTTGGTGAACTGATGCAAAGGGTATTAAAAAAGACTGAAACCCCTAGCCTGGTGCTCTGTTGAAATGCTGCCACCTGCACAAGTAGTAACCTCAAATGTATTTCATGGCTCATGATCGTGTCTGTACTTGTTCATGATTGTTTAGGTACTATGTTCTCCATATTGAGTCTTTATTGAACTTCAGACTGCTCAGTCTTTATATCTTGCACAAATAATTTTAGCCACTGCAAGCATTTTCCTAACATGCAAGCTTTAACAGAAGAACATAAACTGCAAGCTGCCCACAAGGTACCTGCTTTTCCAGAACTCTAATTCCACCTTTGGGTTGGGGTTGCTGCCTTGTAGAAGAGGCTCTGATGATTCTCTCTTCAATGCTCCTTGTATCTGGTAACTCCAATCTATAACTGCTGATTCAATGGCATGTATAACAGATTTATCTACTAGTTTTCCACTGCAAAAAGTAAAAACATCTTATGATTGATTTTGTTGTAATTTGAACTGTGTCAAATAAACATACACCCACATTTATTTTATAAACCACAGTTTAACTTCAACTTTTTAGTGTGGTAGCTGTATCCTGGAGAAAGTTTCTAAGGTATCTAAAATATCTGTATAACAGATAAAACTATGTAATGCAGGTAGTAGTGGTCAGTGGATGATAATTCAAAGAGAGGGTGAAAGAAACAGAAGCTTGCTTAGTTATCATTTATCTGAAAATGGAAAGAAATTTAATGCCCTGACGTGTAAGCACAGTACCACAGTCTTACCCAGGATATGAAAAGTCAGCCGCAAAATGTGACCAAAGCTTACAATTCGGGAGTGTTGGTTATAGCCGTGTTGATCTAAGGAAGTACATAGGTAGATGGGGTACTTTGGGTAAATGTGATATCTTTTATTTAACCAACTAAATAGTTGGAAAAAATGTTCTTTACAAGGTCTGAGGCACAAACATCCTTCTTCCGGCATGAAGAGGTCTGCTGGTGTGTGTGTGCTCTCCTGGGTAGAGCAGACACTTAACCCAATATGCAAAATGCAGGTTATATATCAACATCCCACACCACTGTGGCATACAAGGCTGCCTTGCATATCTACAAGAGCAAGATTACAACTCAGAGTATAGACCTAAAGATATTACTGAAGTTATACACTTCATCCTCACACACAACAACTTTACTGTCAGTAACCAATGCTTCCTGGGTGTCATTTTCTTATTTTATATTACATAATACATGTCCCTTATTTTTGGAACACCATGGCCCCAGACCATAATGGTGACTCCATAAGTCTATTCCCTATTTTACTTCAGCATAACTCAGCTTTCCCAAGGGAACACCATCCTATACTTGTTTTCTCAAAAAACAGAAGTGCTGGTGGGCTCAATGGGGTTTACTCCAAAATTAACTTCACTCTAAGTGCAGTCAGTCTTAGCTTTTTTGGTAATTTGGTATCGGATTGGCATCCTTGCTGAAAAAAAAATGTAAATGATTAAATGAATAATAGAGTGAAAAGAACTGAGAAGAATGACTATTCAAAAATCATTTTTGTTTCAGGATCCCATTTAAGCATAAAAGACTTCGACTGTCTATAAGCAACAACTTCAGAGTCATCCATTGTTACTTTTAGCAGCAGTGCTGCAATTAAATGTATTTCAGACAACAAAGTATCAGTAGCAAGCAAAAGATTTCAGTCATCCAGTAAAACCACCACCATGCATAGGTTTGTAGTAAGGATCAGCAAATGCCAACAAGACACCATAGATGAAAAGATTGCTTGGTTCATTTATGCCATAATTTCTCCTTTTCCCATTGTTAACAATATACATTTCATTGATATGGTTGAGTCTTTACGACCAGGCTACACTCCACCTGGTAGAGCAGATGTTGGTGGAAGGTTGCTATATACGGTTTATGAGAAGGAACTTGAACAGTGTGCAAGAAATACTGAAGGGAAATTTGCCAGTTTAAGCCTTGATGGGTGGAGCAATGTACACAATGATCCAGTAATACATGCTTGTGTGACAACAGAAGATGCGGTTGCATATCTTTCAGAAACAACAAATGCATCGGGAAATGCCCACACAGCAGAATATTTAAAACAAGTGGCAGGGAAAGCTGTAATAAACTGTGAACAAAAATTCAACAGTCATGTGTGCAGTTTTGTCACAGACAATGCTGCAAACGTGGCAAAGATGAGAAGATACTTAGAAGAAGAAACGGAAGGATGTTCCTTAATAACATATGGCTGCAGTGCCCATTTAATGCATATTTTAGCCAAAGACTTAAGTACTTCTCCAGGAATAAAAGAAAATGTTGAAATTGCAAAATACTTCCGTAACAACCATTTTGCTTCAGCTTCAAGCAGAGAGCAGGAGGATCCAAACTGTTTCTCCCTCGAGATGTTCAATGGAAATCTGTTGTTGAATGTTTTGAACAATTTATTAAGAACTGACCTGTTCTCATAAAAATTTGTGAAGAAAACTGTGATAAAATAGATGGAAGTATCTCATCCAAAGTATCTAACATTGAATTAAAGAGGAATGGAAAGAATATGCACAGTATACTGAAGCCTATATCCATAGCCTTAAACAAACTTCAGAGATTGTTGCTGCATTGCTGATGCTGTCGAAATTTGGAAGGCACTGAAGAATGAAATACCTAACCAGAAAGTTAAACTGCAGGCAATAAAGAAGTGAATGGATCAAGCACTAAACTCCACCTCATTTTCTTGTGAACATTCTCAACCCCAGATATAAAGGTGGATGCCTAACTTCTGAAGAAGATGGTACAGCCATGGTATGGGCATCTCAATATCACTCCTCAGTTATGCCAGTCATAATAAATTTCAGGGCTGAAGGGGCATCATTTAAACAGTACATGTTTACTGATGCGATTTTGAACAAAGTCACTCCCCTGAATTGGTGGAAATCATTAGCCAGGCACCTTGAAACAGAGTTCCTTCAGCTGCTAAGCCAACTTTTCACAGCAGTAGCTTCCCTTGCAGGTACAGAGAGAATATTTTCATCGTTTGGTATTATTCACTCAAAACTAAGAAATCAACTGGGAGTTGAAAAAGCAGGAAACTCCTATTTATGTTTTAGTCTATAAATAAAAATGACAGTGGGAGTGGGGAAAATGAGATCTAATTGGAGATGTTTTAAGGACAGTGTACATGTAGTGTTGTGATGACTTATCTGTTAAGAGTTAATAAAATTTGAACATTTAAAAAAAAGAGTTTAAAGACAGATGTTGTAAAATGCTGTATTGAATTGTAAATTAACATGTTTTAGTGATCACATTTGTGCCATTGTTTAAGAAATATGTGAAGAAGAATCAGTGGGAAACTTGATTTAAATCAGTGATTTAAATCAGAGTTTGCTCTTGGAGATTTAAATCAATTATTTAAATCACCCTGATTTAAATCAGTCAACCCTGGCTCAGCATGAACAGTGTTTTTTTTTTCCACTGTCCCTCTCTCACTTGCAGACTCCAGCATTTAAGGTCTAGGAAGTTATAATTCAGAGGTTGTGCCCCTAATTCCCATGCTCAATAGCTACTAATGCCCATTTCCTCCAAGAATTTGTTCAAACCCTTTTTCTTTAATCTGGCGAAACTGTCAGCTTCCACAACATCTGTTGGCAATGAATTCCACACTTCTATTATACGTGGGGTGAAAAAGAACTTCCTTTGGTTAGTTTTAAGGTTACTACCTTCTACTTCCATTTTGTGACCCCTAGTTCTTATATTGTGAAACAGTAAATAATAAATCCTTATTTACTTTCTCGTTGCAATTTAGTATTTTGTAAACCCTTGTAATGTCCGTTCTCAAGAGTCTCTTTTCTAAACTGAATGGATCTAATGTGGCAAAGTGGGAACTCCCTGACCAGCCACAGTGCTACTCTCCCACCTGCCTCAGGACATGCCACCCGCCTTTCTCACCTGCCATGCCTTGTTGTTCAAAAATTAAGGTTTTAATTAGGCAGAAGGCTGCCCTTCGGGTGCCCTGCTTTTCAGGGCCTATGTATGCAGGTCCAACCACCCATATATTGCATCCCAAGCCTCACAGATGTTTCTGACAGCTGTGTACGGCTCCAGCCTGAGGCCGGGCTCAACTCATCCCAGTGTTCAGCCTCTCAATAAAAGTATCATCTGACTTTCTTTTGGTCTGCTTTCCATTGTTTTTGATTTGCAGCATGCATTTGCTCTGTGCCTCTAATATGGTGTTCCTGAGCAATTCCCATACTGTTTCCCCATTCTTCACTTCCTGAGGGGCCCATTTTAAAGTCTGTTTAACTAGCTTCCTCATTTTAGTGTAGTCTCCCTTGTTAAAGTTCAAAGGGACTTTTGGTGGGCTTTTAAAGTTAAAGAGGGATATAGTTAAATGCAACTCCCCACTTGGGGCAGCATTGTGGTGGCTATTTTTGCACCCCCTCCCTCCCACAAAGGTGGCACAGAGGGCTGCAGCCCTGGTCATTCTCCACCTCATTTATGCTACTAGGGCTCCTCATGTGGCGGGGGAATGGTAGCAGTGTTAATTGTCATGGCTCTAGTGGCAATTAATGCCTCTACTGCTCCCCCACTGCCAAATTTACACACCCATGAAGATCCTACAGGTCAGGTGACACAGCTGGAGGTTGAGCATCACTGGTCCAGAACTTTTTCCCCCAGTGAAAGCACTGCATGTTTAACTAGGTCCATTGTGGAGACATTCCTCAGAAGTGTTAGCTACGAAAAGGTGGAGTTCGTCATCTACAAAAGGCATTACATCATTACGGCCTGCTTGGCCTCTCCAAGGAACCAGGAACATTAGGATGACAAGAGCTGATGGGAACACATACATTCTCCCCAGTGTGTCTCACTTGCAGGGTCTACATAGAAATTATTTATGAAATGAATCAGAGACTGTTCTGTGAAAACTGAATGTTGATAACCTTAGTTAAGATGTTGTACTGTACAAATGGAAAACATTTAAGACCACAAAGGGACACCCCGGCTGGACAGACTGCTGCCACATAGTAGATATGCCCTAAATTGTTAAAAGATAAATGGCTATTCATAATCTTGAAAGATGGGTGCAAGAATATCTTTGAAGTACTTGGGAAATACCCTTTTTTGCCTTGTTCTCTAGGGGACAAGATATGAGTTTGGAAATTTGTCTTAGGGAGCTTATAAATTCCAGTTTGATTCCTGTGCATCCTTGAATCATATCTCTAGTGTTTAGGAGAGACTATGTGGCCTGGAATGGCAGGGAAATTAAGGTCCATTGAGAACAGAATAATATTAACCTACCAAATTAACAGAGACTTCCTGAAAGAACTACTAGTTTGTTAATCAGCTATCAGTTCCACCAAATGTTCTGAGAGAAGCAGGGGTAAACCAATGATTGCAGCTTGGCTGAAGCATTGTGTCATGACAGAATTCATGACTAAATATGTGTTTGTAAGCACAGATGACCAGAAGATATATCTTGCCAGGAGGGGAGGTGTAAAAAAAGAATCCTGTACTCCCTAGAAGATAGTGATTATGATCTAACATACTTTCTAGTGTCAGTGCCATGTGAGCAGCAAGACCTGGAGGCCAAACCCTGAATTGGGATAGAAGCCAGAGTTATAAAAGGTAAGCAGAGCGCAAAGGATGAGCTGGATCACGAAGCCAGAAAGTCAAGAGGCGAGCAAGGTCCACAAGCAATCTGATTCAGGAAACCAGAAGACCAAGAGAAGAGCAAAGTCTATGAGCAAGCCAAGTAAGGGACTAAGGAGGTCAAGAAGCATGTTTACCAGATGCAGTCTAGAATCTAGAAGAGCCTGGTTGCCCAGACACTTCCTGCTCATCTGCCTTGTCATATATATAGGTCTAACCCAACTCAAGGAGGCAGCTAGCCGATTTTGCAGGCAGATCATGGGGCTGGCTGTCATTTTCAAGGGCTTACTGCAGCCAGGGAATCCCCATGCCTCTGACTGGCCAAGGGGCCCTGATGGCCCTGCTTTCTATTGCTGACTGACAGAAAGAGCTGTATGTCATACGGCCCTACCCCTCGCCAATGGTTGCTGGAGAGGGGTGGGCCGTGTGCTGAAATCAGCAGCAAGGGGCAGGGGCAACAGTCATCTTGCCTGCTCATCTTTTAGCTGGCAGCCTCCCTCCACCCTTCCCCCAGGCAGGCTATGCAGCCAGGAAGGCTGCTGGCTCTTACCGGGGAGCCTGCATTTTATTTTTTAGTAAGTTCCTCCCCCCAAGTTTTTTGCAGACACCACCTGATTTCCACTAAATCCACACAATCGTGATTTGGTAGGTCCCTACTTAAATGGAAGTGTACAGTCAGGTGACAGGAGCTAGCCACTCAGATATCAAGGAGTTGGCAAAAACTCTGACACTGATGCGGGCAGTAGGCAGGCCTCATCCAACCTTTGAAAACAGTAGCAGCTTGGCAGGTTGATATAGATAGCTTTGTTGGTCAGGATTCAAGGCTGCAGACTTGATATCTAGATCTACAAAGGTCACAAAACTGATACAGGATCTTGCATACAAGTGTTTGGGATTTCTCTGTACAGCTCTCATTATTTCTCTACGAATAATGTGTGTGTGTGTCTTTGAACAGTCTACATATTCCTTGCTTATGCTGTCATACAGTCCCTGAAGAGTGAAACTGTAAACCAAAGGATAGATTAAACCATATTAGCAAAGAGAATGGTCAGTGAACAAGAAAGTCCTGTTCACTTTTGCATTATCTTATACATTTCTTAACTGCAATATAAACAAACATATGGGGTGGATAATGGAAATAAAAACTTGAAGTAGCACTTACATTTTTTCTTTTTCATAATCTATACATTCAACTTTCTCAGAGCCTGCTGGAAGAGGAAGTAAGGTCTTGCCCTTTACTTGACCAACAATCATGAAAATATTACTTTTTAGGCTGTGGACATGGCGCATAATGTCTTGTGATACCACATGTGGCCAGCTGTGGTGGTTCTTCTGGTTGCCTAGGATTGGTGCTACTACCTGTAATATAAATCATTAGAGTAGGTAAAGAATAAAGAAAAAACAACTAAATGGGACTGTGCAGCTCACAGGTTTTGGATGCTTTCATTAGTCAAACATAACTCTGGATCCAGTCCAGGGCAAAATAACCAAAGTGCACCAAGGGCTATTCCATTGCTAGTGTAAAAGGAGGGGACGGAAGGGCTTCAGTCTATATAACAGTGGGTTTTACAGGTCAATGACCTATTTTTCTTGACTGCATGGTGTCTTTTAAGAATTTCCCCCAAAGTGTCTAAGGCATTTGCAGAAAGCTATGGCCTGTTTGGTTTAGGTCAGAGGTGATCCAATGGGATCATACTTGTTATGCAGCCAAGGGAATATGAAGGGCTGGCACAGAACTAGAAGGGTCAGCTCTGCAACTGCCTTGGCAGCCTACTGAGAAGGGATGGGTCTAGGTGGGTCCTACAGCCCCTTTGAATTCACTGGCCCTGACAGAACTTCACTCCACTTTGCACAGGCAACATCAACATGACCCGAGCTGCCCTGTGCAGAAGAAGGAACCTCCCTGAAGGAATCCTGATCAATTCCTCCTGAGACTGTTGGTCCTTCTATTTTCAACATTTTTTGCAATACAGGAAAATTCAGTCATAAAGGACACTTTGTGAAAAACAATTCAGGTGATTAAAGGACAAGTATAAAACTCAAACCCTCAAACTCACAAAATACAGCACAACACCATTAACCTACGCTTTTTCCCTACTCACACACACACATTCAGATACCTAACAACACCTGCTGTTCATTCCCTTGGCGAATCAACTCACCTTAGCTACAACCACCAGGGTCATACTAAGATACCATTAACTCTTCCTTTTACAGAATGCCATGAAACAATGTACATCTTCTGACCAAAAAAAATGTCTGAATTCTTGTAAGCAGTAGAGATAACAACTAGTTTGGCAATGTACATTTGGGATTTGAAATCCAGTGGCTTGATGTCTTAATATAAAAATAACATCTCCAAAACACTAACAGCCATAACTTCCTCTTTATAAACTTCCATCACACCACTTTCTCATTTTAAACTCTAACACAGTAGTGCTCCACACACTGTGATCAGGGCCCCAGGACCCTATGCCACCTCTGTCCAGTGCTGCATGCCAGGATCGAAGCCCCAGGACCCCATACTGCCTCTACCCAGGCCCGCATGCTGAAATCAGTGATCTGGGACCATGTGCTGGTGCAGACTCCACATGGCAAAATCAGGGCCCAGGATTCTGCGTCACCTCTACCCAGCCCTGCATGTGGGGATTGAGATTTGAAGGCCCACATCACTTGCCCTCACCTCTGCATGCCGTGACTGAGCTATGTGCCACCCTGGACACCAGATCTAGCATACAAAGCCATGGCCTGTGGAGCTCCATGGGGACATAGATATGTGGGAAGCCCATGGGGTAGATGAGAAGGCATCAGGGGCCAGACCTGACGCACAGCCAGGATTGAACACCAGTGCTCCAACAGAATATATACAAAATGAATGTTTTATGTAACACATTCACTAAGTCAAATATCTGTCAAGAAAAAATAGTAGTGACATTTTTTACTTTACAATAGTAACAAAAAACCACTGGTTCTTTCCCGCTAGAAAGGTCAGGAATCAGGGCAGCAGGCAGGAATCAGCCCCTACCTGGCCCTGGTTAAATTAGACCTGATTGCCAATGGCCTAACCACCTCCAGTAGACTCCAGTTAGAAGTATGGGTGTGGCTGCTGGTATACAAGCTGCTGAACTCTCAATATTCCTCAGGCTATTTAATAGGACAGATGGATCTGTCTAGCCCTTGGATGCTAGACACTGCTTGAATCTCTGTTCTTTGCTCTTAGCTTCTCAGTCTGGCTCCTTGTTGCTAGCTCCAGACTCAACCCAGGTCTATAGTTCCTACACCCTTGCTTTCTGATGGCCATTTCCTTGCTCCTGTTAACTGTTAACTTGTGGTTTTAGCTTGGTGACTGCCCATGTCCTCATCCTTTACAGCTACAGTTCCCTCTCCAGACCTCCTGGTTAGTGACTCTAGTCCGGATCCCTGCTTCCTGTTCCTGAAACCCCTGGCTTGGGACTTTGTTTTGGTGACTGCCAATGTCTTAGCCCTGTGCAGACCTCAGCCTTCTCACCCCGACTTCTGACTCTAGTTTGGAACCTTGCTTTTATGACCTTGCCTGCTTCTAACACCCTGGCTCATAGCCAGGGATCCAGGTTTTCCAATTCCCATGAAAAATGCAGATTTTCTCCTTTTAAAGGAGAAAAAGTCAGGGAACAATGGGTCTCCCCCTGCAGGCTGGCAGAGAACAAGGAGGATGAACACTGGCCACAGCAGAGGGGGGGGTGTGCACATGGCCAGCAATACAGCCAGGCAGCATGGTAGAGAGCAGCTTCCATAGTCCCCTGCAGGTAAGTCTATGGGGGAAGGGAGGGCATAAGTGATGTGGGAGAGGGAGTGGGAGGACAAAACCGTTATTACTTGGATGTGACGGCCATGGATGTAATGAAGAAAGGCTTTCTAGTTCCTCTGACAGCTTTCAGCTCAAGTACATTTATTTAAAAGATTTTCTCCTGATGCAACCCTATGACCCAAACCTGAGGATGGTCTGTGTGTGTGCTCCACAGCTGAGCCAAAACATGCCCATCACTAAATGAACTGTAGGTTGTGGGGGTTGAAAGGGCATTCATTGGGGAGCACTGCTTGCAAGCCAGGAAGGCTATGGTGTAACGAAGGTCCATCACTTTCATTCCCAGGCGGTACCTTGTCCAAGTCATAGACCAATTGTGCCCGGATTTGCATGCCTCTGGGGTGTAACCTGCCTTGCTGCTTGCGCAATCTAAATGACATTCTTGGGTGCTTCTCCAACTTGAGGATCAGACTCTTCACAGTGAAAAATCGATCACTCTTGGGGGAAGAATGCTCCAATGGACTGGTGTTCAGTCCAGAAACTTAACTGGGGTCTGCGCTGATTTCCGGTAATTCACTTGGAGGCCAAGAGTCTGGCAGAGGTCTAGGACAGGGGGAGGCTCGGAGTGTGGGGCCTGGCGGAGCTGCAAGGGTGACCAAAGCTGCCTGGCCCATGAGGGAGGTGCATGTTGTATGTAAGAAAA